CTGTCCCTCACTCAGATCAGAAATGATCCTCTTAGGCTTTGGGTGTCTCCTTTTTATAGGGTGTATCTATTTTTTAGATTCCGGGATTTTTACTGGGTGAATTGGTCGTCTTCTTGACCGTAGGGGTTTGATGCATCATGGTAGGACTAGGCATGATGTAACCCACCGAAGAACTCACACAGATCATCCAATATTCTCGATTAGAATCGTGTAAAGCTAACATGACCACACTGGTGATGATGAGGGAAATACAAATGAATAATTGGGCAAAATACACAATTTCTTCTCGAGGTATATTCTCTCCACAAAATTTCCAATGAGGTGTTAATTGATGAGATCCGTTTGGGGAATCCATGAATCGAAACTAGGGGGATATCCTTTCCACCGGACTTTGACTTCTTGAATGATTTTCTTCCCGACTCGTCGCTTTTTATACCCCAAGATTTCCTCCACTTCGTACACGTCGTCTTTTTTAATGATCTGTTGTAATTCTTTCTCGTAAAAAGTCCCTTCTAATTCCTCCTGGTTATAATCTTGTACTCGATACACGTAAGGATACCGACCGGGAACTCGTTGAGCAATGGTAAATATTTCCGTGGTCCAATTGGGTAAATATCCTTTTTCAAAAGTGCGTTTAGCTTTACTGATGCGCACTTTATCTCCTGGTTTAAACTTGGGGGGTTTTTTGGTTTTAGGTGATGATTCTTCCCCATATAAAGTTTTCCAGACTTTTAACACATTCGAGGGATTCACTTGAGCTGGAGCTCTTTGGATACTGCGATGATAGGTATGATTGTAAGCATACACTAAATCCGGTAAGACCTCTAAATACCGTCTGGTTTTATTCCGAGTGAAATACCGCCACATGCGTGCTTTGAGGGTTCTCTGAAATCGTTCCACGATACTGGCTTTGGTGTCCGTATTGCGTGTGGTAAAGAAATGAATGGATTTAAATGCCTGTAAGAATTCTCGATTGGTAAATTCTTTGCCTTGATCCGATTGAATGCGGACGGGACGTCGTCCGTCTTGTCGGAAAATCTCTTGTAATCCTCGAATCATTTCTTTTCCCGTTTTCTGTTTTAATGGTACCACCCAAGCATATTTAGATAAGACGTCAATGGCACACAATAAAAAAGTATAGCCGTCATTATGTTTCTTTAAACTGGACACATCGGCTAAATCTAATTGCCATTGTTCGTCCATATCCGTCACTCTGGTCTGTTGTCTCCGGAATTTTCGATGAATGGGTTTATGTAAAGTATAGGTATCTTGCTCTTTTAACCATTCTCGTATGGTGTTCAAGGAAATCTTATGTCCCAAACTTTTGACCTGACGATACAAAGTCTGTATGCCTCCATACCCTCTCTTGGGATCTGTTGTAATTCTTTCTCGTAAAAAATAAATCTCTGTAATAAATCTCTGTTAAAATGTCTCCCACTTCCTTCTTCTTCTTCTTCATGTCTTAGGCAATGATAGCCAATTTTCCTCGATTTGCTGTAATTTCTTCTTTTCTTCTTCTTGGGCTTTTAATTGCTTACTGGCTCGATAGGGACTATATTTAGGTGTGAATTTTTTTAACACCCTTGATCTCGCCTCTACAGGTCGACTAATAGGAGTTAAAAAAGAAGAGGAAGCATCATGAAATCCGCTCTCTTCTTCTTCGTCGTCCTGGTCACTCAAAGCTCCTTTAGGTGTACTGATTTTGGGTGGTTTCTGCATGGCTTTTATAAGGTTTTGATTTTGCAAGTAAACCATGGGAGTACGGGTCTCTTTTAAAGCTTGAGCAAATTGGTCTAATCCTTTAGGCACCGGTTGACTTTTGAGAGGTTTAGATCTCATACTATCAGCCATTAAATCCACAATGTTAGAATCGGGTACTTTTTGACCTCGATAACTGATTTCTCCGTCTTTATCCCAAGTCAAGACGTTGGTTTTCTTTAAATGACTTAATAATAATTCAGCTTTTCTTTGCATGGGTTTATTCACACTTTGAATGATTTGTTGATCGATCTCGGGATCTGAAGCTGGTGCTGCTGCTGCTGCTGGAGCTGCTGCTGGTGCTGGAGCTGGGGCTAAGGGTGCTGGTGGTGGTGCTGCTACTGCTGGAGCTACGGGTGCAGGGGTTTTTTTCCCTGGTTCTCTGGCTTGTTGTAAATAATTCCTATACCGATGAAGTTCTTGACCGTATAAAGCCACTTTTTCTTCAGGAGTTAAATCATCACGTCTGGTAATCTGGTCCAATTCTTGACCTATACTCAGAGTGGATTGAAATTCCGGAGGTTTGGGGAGTTTTCCTTTGAGTTCATTCAACAGAACTTCAGGTACTAACACCATTTTACGACTCATTTTTGTATCTTCTTATTCCTCTTCTTTTGAATGGCTTTATAGACAGAATGTCCGGCATCCAACAGTAAAGGGGCGGCTGCTGAGATTAAAAGGGGTAAAAGACCTCCTCCTTTTTGTTGAACTAATAAAGCTCTTCGTCTCTGGACGGATTGAGGTTGGACCAGTCTCCTTAAGATGTGTTTCTTTGGAGCTAGTTTTCGTTTCTGAGCCGAATGGAGAGGTAACACTCCTTTTAATAGGTTGTAGACGATCTCACAAATTTTCAGAATACAATCTCCAGAACAATGTTTTAAAATTCCGTTTTTCAAGGACGAAGAATAGTGAGGATCCGATAACACTCTTAAAAGAGGGGCATGCGCTTTTAATCGCATAGAACATCCCTTTTTCTTCTTGGCCATCTTTGAAAACAATGAAGAGAAGTCTCTCGTGTCACTCCCTTTTATACTGTCTTAAGGAGGGGCATACATTCCGTGTTTGTCGCTCTCGTGTTTATCTCTATTTTTCTCTAGAACATAAATTTTTCCACAATATCGGCATTTATATCTCAGACCTTTAGGAAGTTGCGGGGTGGAGGCCGTCAAGGGTTGAAAACGTGTGATTTTAGGGGAATGAACGGGAACTTTAATTCCAGGGGAGGGAATACCCACATTCACACGAGGAAACACTTCTAAATCGCTAGCTCTTTGACTCCCTATGGGTCCCATAGCACGATCCATTCTCAGTTCTGCTTGTTTCTTGAGTAATTCTCCTATGGTCTGTTGTCTTTGTTCCTTAAAATACTGATTGATTTCGTTTTTTAGACTTTCGGGCATGGCTTTACGTTGAGCTAGAGTTTGAGGAGTGGTGGATTTTTGCCTTTTTGCCGCCGCTGTTGTTTTCTTCTTGGGAGCTACTTTCTTCTTGGGTGGGGCTGTTTTCTTCTTAGGAGGGGCTTTTGGCTTCTTCTTTTTTCTACTCTTTTGAGCTGCTCCTCCCACTCGGACCATCCAATCTGGAAACACTCTTTGTTTCTTATTATCGACTCTTACCACTACACTCTTTAAACGACGAACCCGTCGTTTTTTAGGACTATTCCATTTGAATAAATGACGAATGATGACTCCACCGAGAAATCCAGCTCCTCCGCGTTTTAAAATGGCTGTTTTCCTATCTTCGTCACTAGCCGATTGATCGGCAATGATCTTTAAATCTTGACGATGACGATCGATAAACTTTTGAGTCAGTTTATTGATAGGTAAGACCCCTTTCATTAAATTGCGAGCTCCCATGGCAAACCAATTCAATAAGGCTTTACGCCCTAATTCGATTAAATGGGCTCGTTTGGTGGGATCTCGTTCCCGCTGTAAACGTCGTAAGGTTCTCACTAATTTACTCTTGGCAGATGGAGCCATGATGAGAGTGAAATGAATAATGACTCAGAAGAGTGGGAAACACTTTTATTTATACTCTTGAGGCATGTGTATAGTCAACAATTCAAACATTCGACTTCTTAATCGGTATTCGTCTGGGGTCTGGGGACTCAAATCCACGAGAAGATAACCGTGAGGTACCTGGGTGGCTTCTTGATAAGCAGACATCAAATGAGGCAAAGCTAGCTGACGACTCAATACACTGATCTGTGATTTGTCTCTGGGATTTTTGAATAAGACTAAATAATGAGCATTCAAACTAATGGTGCGATGAGAGGCAGCTCGATCAAATAAATTCTGAGTGATGTAAATCACACTGGTATTCCGATGATGAGCTTTACGGGTAAACCAATCCACAATCGATTCGATGGCTTTTCCTCCCATCATGTCGTCAAAAATGAGTAAATGGGGCACACTCAAATTGGCTACTAATTTCTCGTCGTCTTCTGGAATATTTCGGATGAAAGATACCTTCTCTTTTAAAGAAGTGTAAGCGGGTTGCCATTCCCGATAACACCAGACGATCTTTTCGGGCCTGGGGGTGATCCAGTCTAGATTGTTCACTAATGACTTGACGAATTCTGTTTTGCCCGATTTCGAGGGTCCAGCAACTACCATGGTAAATTCGTGTTTCAATTGAAAAGAGGGGAGGGGTGTCTCCTCGGAATACATGTTGATCAATGAAAGAAAAGATGGGTTCAGGGTCTTATTTATACTTATTCTTATACTTATTTATAGAAGAATGTCTTTTTTTATAGAGAAGAAACAACACACAAATCAACAATTCAATTTTTTATTTGTAATAACAAACAAACAAACAAACATATCAATAACCATAAGGTAAAGTGTTATAATTCTCTACAATTTGTCTCTTGTCATATACAATTCTCACTGTTTTCTCTGAAGGTTTGTTCACCACCTCACAATCACGGGTCCTCTGGATTTTGCTGGGATAGGGGACTTTTACTTCCTCTATTTCTCCCTTGAGCATTTTTTGTAAAGTCTCTGGGCACACCAACTGAGAGGTTCGATGGTTGAGAGTGACCCCTTTGCATTTATGAACCTCGGTTCCTTTGTCCGTTCGGAAAGCATAATTTTTAGGACCTGCCGACATGAATTTGGTGATGTGATCCCCGTCTAATTCGTCGGTCCATTCTCCTAAACTATTGCCCAAAGTAGGATTAAAAGCTCCTTCCTTATGTTGGTAAATGATACTGTCCGTATCGAAATAAAGGCCCCGTTCTTCTAAAGGTCGTAAAGTCTCGTAGAGATGTAAGCGGCATAGGCGGTGGTAAAACAAGCTAGGATCACGTTTCCAAAGGGACATTCTTCGACGAATTCCTGTTTGTCTTGAAAATTCACTAGCATCTTGTCTTCAATGGAATCTTCTTTATTGACTAAGAGTCGCACACCCTTGATGTCGAGCGTCGAATTTTGTAAGAGTTGATGTAATTCCTCTGGTTCGTCCAAGTATCTGACTTTGGGTAATAACAAGCGTTGAGCAAATTTTCCCCACAGACAATTTAAAAAGAGTTTAGCAATGGTTCTTAACACTGGATTCTTCTTGATACTGAGAATGTCCATCATGAATCCTTCTTTGTATAACACTTCTCGAATGTAATCTTGTTCTTGTTCTGAGGTCTTACATTCGGAGGGAAATCCGGACGCTTCCTGTTTGATCTTGAGGAAGGTATCGATGTAGTCTTTAAATAAGTCTTGACTGCGTTCTTTGAAATGCCACACTTCGTAAGTTTGCTCTAAGGTATACCCCATGTCCAAGGCTTTATGTAATTCGCACGTCACCCAAGTACCCGTGAGACTACGTTCCCGATCGGTGTGTTGACATGGGTGTTGAGACGTAGAGTCTTGTTGTTGGGCACAGGTGCGACATAAGGGAAATAATAACTTACCTCCCGTCCGATAAGGTAATACGGGGTGAAAGAGGCCTCGGGGTGGTAAGACCCGACAGTGAATGAGACCGAAATAACTTCTCACGTCCTGGAAGTCGTCTGTGATGATCTCGGGATGCCCTAAGGGAAAAGGTCTGTGTTTCAACACGTAAGGGTATAAGGAACACACGTCCACGTATCTCATGTCCCCTTCTTCACAATATAATTTAGTGGCATTGGTCCGGCCTCCGTACAGGGCTTCTCGAGGTTTCAAAGGATCCGGAATGTCTAGATCTCGTACAAATTGCTGTAAAGTCTCATCTTGTTGCACTTGTTGATCGAAATCGTGCTCCCAGATACTACACACGTTGTACCCCATGTCCTCTAAATCCGCAGTCCTTCTGAGAGTTTTCTCGTGTAATTGTTGGTAAGTAAATTGAGTCCGGTGAGGATGAGTTTCCGTCTGTAAACTGGGATAGCAAGTGGGGCATCCGTGCCAATAGCATCCGTAAAATTCGTAGACGGTACGAGTCGCTTCCTGGTATCCGTCGACGGTATAATTTCCGATCGGGACTTCGCCTCCGTTTCTGGCATGTCGTATGTGACATCCATTCTGATGACTCATCCAGGTGAGCCATCGACAGGCTTTGGCCGAATATTGTCGTGCCGGATCATACCCGAGGTTCGGAATGATGGCAATGCTGTCTTTAGGCATGAAATTTCGACGGTAGGCTAAATTAGCAGCACTGGCAAACGTGATGGATTCCTGGAAAGGGTCCACGTTGACCAACTTCTTGAGGGTGCTTCTAAACCGTGCACAGCATCGGCGTAAAATGTCGACGTCCGAGACACAATACCCTACAAACTCTTTCTGGAAATCAAACACTTTTCCCCTCTGTTGGTCGTACCATTCGTAAAAAGCTTTTCGTCCACTGGTAGTCATTTCGTCCGGATTGTAGAAAGCTGCCGGTGGATAAGGTCCCACGTAATTCTGGTTCTGTTCCGTATTAAAAAAGTGAGGGAAATAACCTTTCTTCATTTCGTTCAAATCGAAAGCGGAGGGCATCTGGGCCAAAGGAAAGGTTAAGAAACTATACGAGTCGATGAATTTGAGTCCGCATATTTCCATGGACAAGATCTTACTCCCGTTCATGATCACGCTAGGTTTCAGGGGAGAAGAATGCACTATGTAATTCAAAATGAATTGTCCGTCGTATCCTTTGAAGTTATGGGCGATGATGATGGCCCCGTCGTGTACTAAAGTGGAATTCTTAGTACCTGTAGTGGGTTGAAATAACCAGTCCATGAACTTCTTTAAGGTGTCTGGGCCTTGAAATAGGTGCTGACGGGGTCCCATGTGTTGACAATGAGGACAAGGTTGGTCTATGTCTAAGTCATCGCAATGTTGACAGACGCGATGTGCCACACACAGATTAGGGACGTGAATGCCCGATTCCTGAGTGCATTCGAAATCGAAATAAATGGTAAACTCTAAGGTGCCTTCTCCCTTCTTCTTCTTCTTCTTGGGTTTCTGTGGAACGTAGCACCGATGATCGGCATCGACGATTTTCTTACAGATCTTACACTGTTTCTGATCTCCGCATTTGTGATGAGGAAATAATTTCTTAGGCATCCAGGACTGACACTTCTCGCATAATCCCATTAAATTGCACACAGTAGTGGTGGTTTTCTTACCATGAGGTTTTAAATGATCTTCGTAGCAGGTCCTGTTCTTAAACATTCCATGGCATTCCTGGCATTTAATCTTGATCCCTTCATCGGGACATTTAGGGTGAGGTCCTAAACAAAAGGGACAGCGATGAGGACATTTGGACCGATGGTCTGTGAATTTAGTGTACCCCACGTCGCAATGATCACAGTAATATTGGTTCCCCGTTACTCCCGGCATCGATATGATGGCATCGCAATGACGGTTGTCTAACAAAATGTTCAAACAAGTTCCGTCTCCCCAGCCTTTGAAGATGCGCTCTAAACAGAGTTTAGTGGAAGTAGATTTGAACTGAAATATTTTCAGACGATACTGAGGAGCTAATACCTGTTGTAATTTTATCCACTCTGCATTTCCACAAGCTTGAGTGATATCACATCCGGCCTGTTCCATGAGGGCTATGGCTTGGTTCTTCTGGTCCAAGGATTCCTTATCTCCCTTCCGCATACGGAGCCATCGTTTTTCCCATTCCGGGTCTGGATGTTCCGGTTTCTGACTGTGTAATCGAGTGACGACGATGGCTCTAGCCAAACAAAATTCATCATTGGGATTGACGATTCGAACGATGGATTGTTTATTTTTCTTGAAAGTTTCTTTATCCAGTTGTAGATGTTTGTTTCTGTTTCCACCACTCCCCTGGGGATTCTCGATGTGTAACAGATCGAATTTCGTGGAGCCGTCGCCGATTTTGAAATCCTTTTTGGATTGTTGCACACGTTGTATTTCTTTAAAAATGACGTCTTCGTTTAAATCTTTACATTGCATAAACCCGTAAGAAATGTCTGAATCCAGAGAATCGTGACTTATGTTCAGGCGAAGGTAATCGTTAGGATCACACTGCATTTTCGATTTGAAGTCCTGTAATATGTTTTTGAATAATCGTAGAAGGAAAGCTGTGCTTTCTTCTTCTTCTGGAAATTCATCGAAATGAACGACATATTCATTTTCATGCGCTTTAAATTTTGGAGAGGTCCATTTTTCAGCTAGTCTCATGTGATAATACTCCGAAATGGGTTTAGGTGGTAAATCTATTTCTCTCTCGGTACTTTTTCGTTTCAATATTCGTCGAGCCTGTACCTGTTTTTCTCTAGTAGAATCCATGTCTATCAGGTGATGGCTCTGAGAGTAAAATGAACCCAAAGTCGGAGAAAACCGTATTTATATACAGTGGATGACGTCATAATGCATAGGTAAGCATAATTTTTTTTTTGCACACGGCACTTTATAGAGGGTGCAAACAGGTAAATATAAGGTAAACGTAGGTAAAACGTATTTTTTTGCACACGGCCCTAAACAAACTTGGCTCAGTGCCAAGTATTTACCTGTGTAGTCAGCATATTTTTTTTGCACACGGATCTAAAACAAAAACTTGGCTCGCTGCCAAGTATTTACCTGTATAGTCAGCATAAAAACAAAAAACGTAGTACCTACGTACCCATGTAAACAGTGTAAACAACTCCAGTATTTAAGGGGGGAATAGGTTAGGGTTAGTTAGGGGGTTAGGGTTAGGGTTAGGGGTTAGGGTTAGTTAGGGCTAGGGGGATAGGGTTAGTTAGGGTTAGTTAGGGTTAGGGTTAGGTTAGGGTTAGTTAGGGGGCTAGGGTTAGTTAGGGTTAGGGGCTAGGGTTAGGGTTAGGGGGGTTAGGCTTAGGGGCTAGGGGTTAGGGTTAGTTAGGGTTAGGGTTAGTTAGGGTTAGGGTTAGGGTTAGGGTTAGGTGATTTCTCTCAGCCAATCAGAATCTAGGGGGTTATGTGTCAACAGATATATCTGATATATACTTTTCTTTTTTTAAGATTTGCTTGTATTGATTAAACATCATTCAAAGAAACGAATTGACAGAAATATCCTGAAAGAAATCGATCTAACAGAGATATAACTAAATAATATATGCATGAATTTAAATGCTCCACCAATCAAATCTGATATGTTAAAACAAAATGTCAATAGTGGCTTGAAAAAAGATTTTCTTTGCCTAATCTAAAATGTTGGGTATTGGGAAACATATATGGAATTAAATACCAGCAATAAATGGCAGTCATTTCCCTTTATTTTATTTATATCGATTATAACGTGCCTTTTGGTCCTTGATTTTAGATACAAATCATTCTTTTGATGATGACGAGGATATCAGATTGAATTTTAGGACAAAGTTGATCCTTACGGATAATATACTTTAACAAGTATAAAGAACAAGTTTAACATTAAATGTATTTAAATCACGTGCCCTCAATGATCCCTCGTTCCCATACTTAAAGTCTTTTCTTTTCTTCCTCGACTCTTTTACATGTATACTAGGCTTGACAGATACTACTAGGCTTATTTGTTAATGATATGTGCAAGTACATGAATGGTACATGTAAACACCGTAAATACAGGAGGCAATTAATTTTAAGGGAATTAAAAAATAATTATTATAATGTAAATTTTAATTTTTAGCATAGACCTAAAGCAAAAGGTCTTAACTAATTATTAAATAAAATTTCCAATGCTCAAATGGTATCAGGAAACTTATTTAATGCACTGTACTGTCCTGCTAAAGTTCATCCACTCGTTCACATTTTAAATGTGTAGAATACGTCGCTCCAGTAACTCAGTAGTTAGAACACCCGCAAGACGAGCAGGGTACATGTACATGTACGATTCTTACTCTGGCCGACACATTATTTCGCGCCTGTTATACTTGTTCCGTATATCTCTACCTATTCCTTCTATGGTTAGGAATCTTTACAAACTTTTCCTAATCAACCCAGCATTGATTTAATATAAACAAGATGTGTTTGAGAAACACTGATGCCACCCCCCCCCCCCCCCCCCCGTACGGAAACATAGCGATGATTAATTTTTTTCTTAAATGAAAAATTAATATATTTGTACGAAAAGTAGGGTAATATCACTGAAAATACAATTGTGAAATACCGGCGAAAGAATATGCGAAGAAGAAATAAGCGAAGTATGAGAGCACTAGCCCTTAGCATTCAAAAGCTATGACCAAGGTTAATTTTTCTCAAATGTAGGGAAATCTTCAAGGTCAAGACGTTAAGGTAATTTTTATCCAATCAAAGGTTTTCCCACAAAAATACATATGTGAAGTACAAAACCCCTAGTCCTCACTGTTGCAAACTTATTGCCAAAGTTAAAATTTTCATAAAGTACGTCAAACTCCAAGGTAAAATTTCTTGATATCAAATGATAGGCTTTGTCATAAGGATTAAAAATGTAAAGTATGAAAGCTCTAGCCCCAACCCTTAAGGGTTATGATCAATGTTTGCTTTTTAAAAGTAGGTCAAACTCAAAGGTCCAAATTTATGGTATCCAATGAAAGGTCTTCTCACAAGAATAGAAATGTGAATTATGAAAGCACTAGCCCATACCGTTTAGAAGTTATGGCCAAGGTTAACGTTTTTTCATAAGTATGGAAATCTTCAAGGTCAAAAGCTCAAAATAGTTGGTATCAAATGAAAGGTTTTCAACAAAAAATACATATATGAAGAATAAAATTCCTGGTATCTACTGTTTAAAAAATATTGCCAAAGCGAAAGTTTGGAATTTTTGTGTAAAAGTGGGTCAAACTCGGTGGTACCCGAAGGAAGGTCTTGTCTCAAGAAATACACATGTGAAAATTGAAAGTCATAGCTCCACTAAATCAAAAGTTTTGGGCAATGTTCAAGTTTTTCGGACAAACAGACAGACAGAGAAACGGACGGACACGACAAATACTTCCGGTAATGGCCGCGATAGAAGCGTGTTTAAGTAGTGTACTTTAATTGGTTAAATTCTAAAGTTATAGAGCTGCAATGGAGCACAAAATGCGAACGATAAATACAGAGGGACTGACAATAGAGTAAGGTATCGGTAAATCGGAAGATGAGTGCCAAAACGAATGCTTTCCAGTGAAATTCAAGCCGAGGAACGCCAAAGCTAAAATAGCAGTTATGAAGAAATTGACGAGAGTTTATACGAAGAGTCTCCGAAAATAGTATACTTTTATACCTCAGAAAAAGACTTTTCTACTGGATCAAAGCACGTAACATTCTTTATTATGACAATATTAGCAAAATTGACGGTATTGACGTGAAATGGTCGGACAATCCCCCAAAATGGGACGATCCCATTGGCGGGAACTCTATTACAATAGAACTACTTGATTAAAAAAAACTTGCTTAATAATATCACAATTTTCATATCAACTGGGACAATAAGAGTACAGGGACATTATTTTCAAATGTTTTCGAGACATCACTTTCTAATTCTAAAGGAATTGGTTTCCAAGATTACCACGAGAGCAGAGGAAAGTCGGGTAACAGAGGAT